AAGTGTTATTATGGGAGAATTGCTATTCGTGTGGTTTCTGCCTTATTAGGCTCATATTGCGCAGAGCATATTAAGACCAAAACTCATGTACAACAATTTCCTTACTTGCAATAAATAAGCACTAATTAGAGGGTTATTGAGGAAAAACTCTCAACTAATGGCCTATTACTTGTCAAATAGGCGTTAAGTGTTTTATAATGACTAATAAAGAGCCAATATACTGCTAATATGCATGTTAATTAACAACTAGTTGATGGTGAATTTCTACCTGAATATAAAGTGTTACCAAATAAGTAATCACTGCAACACTCTTTTGGTTAAGCTCAAAATAATTAAGATTTATTTTCATCAATGAATCGCTCCAATTTAGTGTAAATTGGAATGATCCACATCAGTGCTCCCGGGTGTATGTGTGTATTTTCTTCCTGTATGTTCCTGCCTGTGTACATGACATAAGCTGCTGCTCATAACCAATCGCCCTTTGCAGGATTAATAAAGTTGTTGATTGATTGATTGATTGAAGGTAGATCCTGCCTAAATGCTACTGCATGTTACAGCCATAGAAAAACAAGCATTCAAATGTTCTTGTGATTGGTCTTTTCATTGTATTATTAGTGAAGGTCCCCTACATGAATACAGGGTTTTCTGCTAGGGTTTTTTCCTGAGAATTCCTTTTTTATCTCAGTTGGAATAAGATGCTTTAGGATTTAATAACAATTAAATCGGAATCTGTATAATCTGAGGTGTTTAATCAATATTATTACATAGCATTTAGCCAACGCTTGTATCCAAAGTGACTTACAGTAAGTGCAATAAACCATAACAATTCAAACTAAGGACAACAAGAACAGTACTGACAGACTTACTTAAAACAAGCAATATCATTGTAAGTAATGAGTAATATCAGTTTCATTTCTATAAACAGATTCTGCATATAAAGTTAGAATCTGTAGGCTACAGGACAGGATGTTGGTGACAAAAGAGAACTTTAGGGCACTTCTTTAAAGTGTAATGTTGAACTGAAAGACAAGGCAAAATGCATAGTTAGGAGAACATGTCTTCTGATGGTTGCAGGTGCACCCTCAGCCCACATGGAGGCACAAGCAGGAGGTTTAATGAGTCCACCAGAGGAGGTCACTCCGTATCATGTTGCTGTGACGTCTTCAATTGTGCAGTACCATACTTCTGAATGAAGTCATTCAAATATAAGGGAGCCTCACCTGAAGCGCAACTGCGGCGCACTAGCACCCCCCCCAATTAAAACATGTTCATACAATAATGAATACATTTGAAACCTTCTTTATGTATACAACCAACATGTCAATACATTTCAGTTGTTGTGTATTTTGTAGAGATTTTTCATTTATTCTTTATATATGCTATCGTGTATTGCTTGGAGGGGGGGCACCAAATCATAATATCGCCTAGGGCACCAAAATGTTGCAAGTGCACCCTCAGCACACATTGAGGCACAAGCAGGAGGTTTAATGATGGGGAGTCCACCAGAGGAGGTCACTCCGTATCATGTTGCTGTGACTTTTTCTATTGTGCCGTGCCATACTTCTGAATGAAGTCATTACAAATACTGTATTTCAATGAGCTCATTAATGCGTTGCATGTTTCCTGCTCTTGTGTCTTATCTTGTGTCTCTTGTGTTTCTTTGCTGTGCAGTAGGAGCTATCTGCACAACATTTTGTAAAATACTTCCTGGCGGACTGGCCATCTGTAGAATATGGAGATACACAGGCCGTTTCTCAATCGCGAGGATGCTGGCTTGGTAGTTGTGTACTTCCAAGTCACTTGGACATCGGAACGGTCCTGCAGCGCCACTTGATGACGTAGCGTCCTTGAAATATTGGCTTGGAAGCCAGTATCCTCGAGATTGAGAAACGGCCCCAGATACACAGAACGGCTCGGTTCGCTGACGGCAGCACCGCCCCCGTTGACAGTTCACTAGCACCCCCCCCCACTTGGGTTTAAAAATTAAAAGGTGAAATAACCTTCGCTATATTCTTTTTCACATTTAGCAGCTTTTCAAAGATAAATAAAACATTTTCTAACGTTCCTTTTGATTGAAGTAAAAAAATAGTACAACTACCAAGTGAATGATGCCTACTTGAATAACATTTGTAGTTTTCCATGTTAAAGCTCTATAATGATTTATTTCTTTTCTGTTAGCCTGTGGTGAAGCTGGTGTACAACAGAAGCAATAACAAGTACTCCTACACCAGGTAAGACATCTTTCCTCCAGAGGTCCCGCTGCTCTCATCATAACAAGATTAATGGCTTTATTTTGAGGGAAGCATAGATTATTTCTTTCTAATAAAGTGTAATGAGCCACAGGACACAGAACCAAGTAAAGGATGAAGCACTTCTTCTCTAAATCAGTTTTCTTTTGTCTCGACAGTAACTCGGACGACAACCTGTTGAAGAACATCGAGCTGTTCGACAGGCTGTCGCTCAGCTTCAACGGCCGCGTCCTCTTCATCAAAGATGTGATTGGAGACGAGATCTGCTGCTGGTCCTTTTACGGTCAGAGTCGCAAGCTGGCCGAGGTGTGTTGCACCTCCATTGTCTACGCCACGGAGAAGAAGCAGACCAAGGTGTGCATGAGTGCAGCCATGTTCAGACCAACCATTGCCCTGCATCTCTGGAGGCTCAACAGGTTGCCTAGAAACACAACGAGGGGTCATTCAACAAAAAAACGTGATCTGCTTAGAGCCGAGGCATTTCTGACACATCTCTAAGCGGTTGACCAATCACAACAGAACCGGCCAGCTAACCAATCAGAGCAGACTGGGCTCTGGTTTCAGACAGGGGTTGTGGACAGGCAATTGTGATTGGTAAACCGCTTATAGATGTCGGAAATGTCCCGCCTCTTAGCCTATCACGTACAATGTGTTGGAGTGCGTGCTAGACAATAGAATAGGGAGTGTTACATAGTAATGTCACTATGTTACTGAAGTAAAGAAATTAGTAAAATGGAGGCGTTTCAGGAAGGGGGGGGAGTGAATTTTGGGATTTTAACCAGAAAAAACGATATTACACGTTACAGGCAAAAGAGAACTCTGAAAAGCATAGTAGGGCCTCTTTGAAGTAAATTAGAAGAGAGCAACATATACAACTAGAAAATGCATTTCCTGCTGAAAATGCGTGCGAATGCTGTAAACTGTGTACATTTGTTGCTGAATTTAGCTGAAAAAGCTGAATATTTTATTAGTTGAATGGTCTCTGTAGCTGCTTTTAGCTCCAAAAACAAAGTAAGTGTGTTGCTGAATTGTTACAGCTCAAATGCATTGCAATGACTTTGTTGAAAACTTGAAAGTGAAATGTTAAACTGGAAGAGTAGGAAAAATAGTGAAGAAGCTTAATGTTTAAAAGAAAAGGTTTAAAAAAGGTATAAACAACAACACGTATATCCTCAATGTCCTGAAATAGTTGAATAACTTAATAGTTGAATGGTTTCTGCAGCTGAAAGTAGGCTGAAGGAGTTGGATATTAAATGTAAGTAGTTGTGAATGAATGTTTACAAACAACTGTGTGTATAAGCCTAGAGATCAAAGGTTACCATGACGTTATCAAACATCTGTGTACTGAGCCCAGAGATCAAAGGTTTCCATGGAGATGTGCTGTGAAAGGAGAGCCTTTCCATTGTTCTGAATGAGAAATAAACCTCTCACATTTCTAACTATAGTTTAAGTTAAGCCCGAGAGACCCGGTACCGGGGCCCTCCTGCAACATCTTGCAGGAAACAGTGTCTGAGGGCATGTTCATTTAATAAACTATGAATGTTTTATATCCATGTAACGGGAAGAAACTCATCTAACTGATCTTTTTTTTTTTTTTTTTTTAAACCCACACAATGTTGCTGAGCTCTGAACTAGCAACGAGCGAAAAAATGCTAACAGATGACTGCACCGAAATTCACTCACAAAACCTTATTATTTACATCCGCACATCCAACAACACATCGTTTCATATTTTGAGGAGACACAGAATCGAGGAGTACCCTTCATTATCACTCAATTATACGAACTCTTTGAGATAATAACAAGAACAGACATCAAAACATATGGCGCTAGGTAGCT